AACTGCATGCATGAGGTGGTACCCGACAAGGGTCCCCACCAGCCCACACCTTCAGAAACCCCGACCCCCCCCCCCAAACGCACGAAAACCAGGTTCGCGGACCCCGTTAATTCGCGTCCAACGGGGATTTTAATGGGATTTTAACGCGAATTTAACGTGCGTTAAATTATTTAACRCGGGGCCCGCGTTAAATCCAGTTTCGGACACACAGGCAGAGACAATAATTGGAAAAGAAAGACAAAAGARATCCCAAAAGAGTTTATGAATTTTGATGATGAGAAACTCACATTGGAGCAAACAAACCAAAGAAACCAATAAGACTTCTTAGGTTGTATGGTCAAGGTTGACCAATGACCCACATGAGAAATGGTGGCAGCAACGCATAAGAATCAAGTAATGGTGAGAAAATTATAATTAGTGTTTCAAAATTTGCAGGATTTTTGCACGTACCCAACAAGCAACAAAAAATGGTTGTGATTAGTTCACCTATGCACAAGGCTAGGAGGTCCACGATAATGAAAGAGGTGGAGGTGTTGTTTTTACTCATACTCAATATCGAGCTGCATCTGAGCAGTTTTTCGCATTATTATTTTGACTCTGCATTGAAGTACTTCTCTGCCAAGTACGAGAATGAGTGACAAGAATAGGTTGTGTCTCTCACGAGATGGGATCGGTTTCTTTGATGCTGCATGGCACCTTCTGGAACTCAACAAGTGGCTCTAAATTTCCCTGTTTAGTATATTCTTCTTTCTTTTCGTCCTGATTCTATTTTACTTCGACTTTGGGAGTCGAACTTTGCTACCTGGAACTCGATCTATTTTTTATTATTTGGGTTTTCTGTCAATTATCTCGGTTTACTATTACTATCTCGCATACATTTTCATTTCTAGAACTGGTTATGTGGCCTATTTCTCTCTTTATTGGACCGGACTCTGTTTTACTCTGATTTTGGGCTCAAACTCTATGGGCATCGTTCGACACCCCTCGGGGCATCCTCAGGCTCCGAGGATGAATCCTCGGAAAAGTTTAGGGTTTTTGTCGTCTTCGTTCCACTCATCCTCGGAGCATCGGTTGTAGGACTCATCCTCGGAGCAATGTCAGAAAAATAAAAGAAAAAAAAAAGGAAAAAAAGTTGTGCTTCGGTCTGGTTATTATTTGATTTACTTGGCCTTGATCTAGTTTTTGGACTGGAGTTCTCGTTGACAGTTGAACCCCCTTTTGGTATCCTCAATTTTTGTTTTTGTCCCTTCAACTCTGCTAAGGCTCGAACCGATGTTTTAGGACTCAGTACAGTCGATATTTTCAATGGTCTGTAACTCTGTGGTGAATTCGCCAAGTCTCGTAAACATCAGTTACTTTGGTATTGGTACTGAGTCGATTATTTAGGACGTATGTGGCATGAGGTGTTATGATATGTCTGAATCAAGACAGATTTGTAGATTAGATGCTTATCTCGGACGTATGCTTGAAGGGTCTAGTCGTCGTTTTTTTTTTTTCGGATCCTGGCTACTTAAGGAAACACGAGGCATTGGGGAAGTCCTCCCTCACTTTAAGTTGCGATATTAAGACCCCTGATGATGCCAACTGGCAACCGACCGAAATGCGGCGTAGGGTGACCACCAACACTGGTAGAAGAGCAACTCTAATTTATCGTGTCAGTGACGACAAGTTTACGATGTTACCGACTTATCTAATTAACTTGGAAGTCAACTGTCGGTCGTGTATGGATAAATCCCGGTGTCCTCCCCATGGTCTCATGCGCTATCTTCTTCTTCTCTTTGTCTTCATCTGATTTCAGCTCGTGGTCTCATTTGTTCTACCATCTTTCGAGACCCATCTTCCTTCCTTCTCGATTGTCATGCTTGAAAATATATTGTTCTGTCTGTGGAATTGATGATCTGTGAATATTAATTGATTGAATGTGAAAATCATCTCACTATCCCACTATCCCAGTATCGCAGTCTCTGGGACGTTTCTCTCTTTTTCCGCTTTTTCTTTTGTGTATCGGTCAGCCGTTATGAGTTTGTTTTTTCATGGCGTTACCAAATACGAAATATCAAATGGTACCGCCTCATGCTAGGCTCGACAAAACTTGGTGCGCAGTGAAATTCAAGGTCGACAAAATCAGGATCAGAGGTAGTGGTTGTTTAACACCTTGGAATCTTCCTTCAATCAGGCCTAGTGCCCAAGGCTATATATCAATGATGTAAAAGATTCATCCAAAAACATCAGGGGCTTCCAACCTAAACCCTTAACCCTCAGGTTGAGCCACAAAACAAGCCGAAATTGACTCCACAAAAAAAATACAAAATTTCGTAGAGGACCCATAATTGGTCTATTACAGTGAACCAAATGCTTACTGTGCATGATTCTCTGCAAGAAAGGTTGACAAAACAAAATTGAACTAACCTCAACCACAAATGAACCCACTTGTTCTGAAACAGGAATTAAAAAAAAAAGGAAAGAAATGCAACAAAATCCCTTATGTTTTTTTTTTTTAACACAAGGTCAATCCAGACCTACTAGGAGGGGTGATAAAAACCTCTCCTAGTAGACCGCTAAGTGGCCACTCCATCTATTTGTGTGGAGCTTCATCTGCACGAAACTGGGTCCAGCATTCCATAAGAACATAATGATTTTTGAAATGAGATAGTCTCATAATGAGGAACAATAGGAGCTGTGAAATGTATCTCTTCTCCCAATCATTAGGCGCCATATGACACTTAGTCTATTTCTATGTTACCAGTTGTCCGATGGCAGGACGTCCTGGCCTGACGTCCTGGGCGGACAGTCAGGGGGGTCCCGGAGGTCCGGGCCCAGACAACTCCATTTTTAGCAATTAAAAGCATGAAAAAAAGAAAACAAAATGGGGGTCACTGGGGTGCATGGTAACCGCCCGGACGTCCGGACCGGGTTCCAGACAGTCCGGTGTCCGGTGTCTGGTGTCCGGTGTCCGGTCCCCATGTCTGGATGGAGGCCCCTGGGGCAAAAATAGAAAAAACAAAAGGGGCGGCCCAGGACGTTTGTCGGGTCCCACCCGCCCCTCGAAAAATAACGGGGTGATTTTTAAGTGTCCTTTCACCCCACCGGACATGGCCTAGAGGTCCAGACACAAGACACTGCTGGTTTTTGAGGTGGCGTGTTTCGCACAGGCCCGAGCAATTTCAAAGCGGCCATTTCGACGTGGCGCCCGCCGCTCCTGCCCGTTAGGGGGAGAGAGAGAGAGAGAGAGAGAGAGAGAGAGAGAGAGAGAGAGCACTGACAGTGCTGCCAGTCTGAAGACTCTCAGGTTCTGAATTGAACTGCAAAGCTCCAACTTTTATGTTATATATGAAGTTATGAACTTAAATTAATAAATCCAAAGTTCAAAGTTCAAAGTTAATCGTACTTTTTTTTTTGGGGAAACTGTGGCTGTGATGCACTCTTAGTTTGGAATTGGCGAGACAAGACGAAGTGGCGCAGGTGTCATGGTGTGAGTTGTGACATGTGCAAGTTTAGCCCGGGGGGGTCTAAAACTGCAGCATCAGTCACTACCCGCAGTGACCCTTGGCAGATTTAGGGGTGTCTCCTTTTTGGCACCATAATTTCGGGAACTGCTGAAGTTGCCTATTCTGAACGTTGGGTGTGACTCCAGCATACTTGCCACCTTAGTTTAAAAAAAAAAGAAAATAAAAAAAAGAGTAGCCTCGTAAGCCACCTACTTCTCAGAACTTATTTTAGGGCTCTTTTTTTTTTTTTTTTTTTTTTTAAGGTCCTTATACAAGACCTCCATCCCAGTGGTGGTAAGAGAACCACCGGGGTCGAGGCTTTGTCTGGTGGACCGCTCCATCTATTGGTGGGGAGCATCACCTGCTGGAAACCGGGTCCAGCGTCCCTTTGACACATTAACATGTTTTACATCATTTGAGTGAATTTCAGAGTCCATTTCAGAATTTCTATTGGCCAGGATCTGGCTAATCAGGATCATGGTGTTACCATTTTTCAGAGATTATAGTCCGATTTTAAAAAAAAAAAATTCCCTGAAACAAGCTCCATCTATTGGTGGGGAGCAGCACCTGCTGGAAACCGGGTCCAGCGTCCCATAGATACTAGATTATAGTCCCATTTGAGTAGCCTGAGTGGCTACATTTGGTTGGCCACAGTAGGATGTTTCACAGAGAGAGCATATCCTTTCAGGTTGTGGGGCTCTGCTGAGCCGCATTAGGTTGGGACGGAGACGTGTTTTCTATAAAAAAAAAGAAAAAAGGCTGGGAAGGAAACATTGGCATTGAAATTCTTAAAAAACTCGAGAAGCTGCAGTAGACTGCAGTAGTTATCTCCTCTTCACGGTAAGCCGTGTTAAGGCATTGGCTGCAGGCTTGTCTGAGATTCTTTCCCTGGTTTGTTGCAGGTTAAGCGAAGCTGACTAATCCTCTCAGTATCTGGGGTGAATTGTTTTTTTTTTGGGGGGGGTAACTTCGGCGCAGTCACGAAAACAGTTTGTAATTGCATTCGAAACTG